ATAGGGAAATAAATAGGGAAATAAATAGGGAAATAAATAGGGAAATAAATAGGTGAATAACTACGGAAATAAATAGGGGAATAAATAGGGAAATAAATAGGGAAATAAATAGGGAAATATATAGGGAAATATAAGTGAATAAATACGGAAATAAATAGGGGAATAAATAGGGGAATAAATAGGGAAATAAATAGGGAAATAAATAGAGAAATAAATAGGGAAATAAATAGGGAAATAAATAGGGGAATAAATAGGGGAATAAATAGGGAAATAAATAGGGAAATAAATAGGGAAATAAATAGGGAAATAAATAGGTGAATAAATACGGAAATAAATAAGGGAATAAATAGGGGAATAAATAGGGAAATAAATAGGGAAATAAATAGGGAAATAAATAGGGAAATAAATAGGGAAATAAATAGGGAAATAAATAGGGGAATAAATATGGAAATAAATAGGGAAATAAATAGGGGAATAAATAGGGGAATACATAGGGAAATAAATAGGGAAATAAATAGGGAAATACATAGGGAAATAAATAGGGAAATAAATAGGGAAATAAATAGGGAAATAAATAGGGAAATAAATAGGTGAATAAATACGGAAATAAATAGGGGAATAAATAGGGGAATAAATAAGGCAATAAATAGGGAAATAAATAGGGAAATAAATAGGGAAATAAATAGGGAAATAAATAGGGAAATAAATAGGTAAATAAATAGGTAAATAAATAGGGAAATAAACAGGGGAATAAATAGGGGAATAAATAGGGAAATAAATAGGGAAATAAATAGGGAAATAAATAGGGAAATAAATAGGGAAATAAATAGGGAAATAAATAGGGAAATAAATAGGGAAATAAATAGGGAAATAAATAAGGAAATAAATAGGGAAATAAATAGGGAAATAAAATAGGGAAATAAACAAGGAAATAAATAGGGAAATAAATAGGGAACTGAATAGGGGCATAAATAGGGAAATAAATAGGGAACTAAATAGGGAAATAAATAGGGACATAAATAGGGGAATAAATAGGGAAATAAATAGGGAAATAAATAGGGAAACAAATAGAGAAATAAATAGGGAAATAAATAGGCAACATAGGGAAATAAATAAATAGGGAAATAAATAGGGAAATAAATAGGGAAATAAATAGGGAAATAAATAGGGAAATAAATAGGGAAATAAATAGGGACATAAATAGGGAAATAAATAAGGAAATAAATAGGGAAATAAATAGGGAAATAAATAGGGAAATAAATAGGGAAATAAATAGGGAAATAAATAGGGAAATAAATAGGGAAATAAATAGGGAAATAAATAGGAAAATAAATAGGGAAATAAATAGGGAAATAAATAGGGAAATAAATAGGGAAATCAATAGGGAAATAAATAGGTAAATAAATAGGGGAATAAATAGGGAAATAAATAGGGAAACAAATAGGGAAATAAATAGGGGAATAAATAGGGAAATAAATAGGGAAATAAACAGGGAAATAAATAGGGAAATAAACAGGGAAATAAATAGGGAAATGAATATGGAAATAAATAGGGAAATAAATAGGGAAATAAATAGGGAAATAAATAGGGAAATAAATAGGGAAATAAATACGGAAATAAATACGGAAATAAATACGGGAAATAAATAGGGAAATAAATAGGGAAATAAATAGGGAAATAAATACGGAAATAAATAGGGAAATAAATAGGGAAATAAATAGGGAAATAAATAGGGAAATAAATAGGGAAATAAATAGGGAAATAAATATGGAAATAAATAGAGAAATAAATAGGGAAATAAATAGGGAAATAAATAGGGAAATAAATATGGAAATAAATAGGGAAATAAATAGGGAAATACATAGGGAAATACATAGGGAAATAAATAGGGAAATAAATAGGCAAATGAATAGGGAAATAAATAGGGAAATAAATAGGGAAATAAATAGGGAAATAAATAGGGAAATAAATAGGGAAATAAATAGGGAAATAACTAGGGAAATAACTAGGGAAATAACTAGGGAAAAAGCTAGGGAAATAACTAGGGAAATAAATAGGGAAATAACTAGGGAAATAACTAGGGAAATAACTAGGGAAATAAATAGGGAATAAAATAGGGAAATAAATAGGGGAATAAATACGGAAATAAATAGGGAAATAAATAGGGAAATAAATAGGGAAATAAATAGGGAAAATAAATAGGGAAAATAAATAGGGAAAATAAATAGGGAAAATAAATAGGGAAAAAAAATAGGGAAATAAATAGGGAAATAAATAGGGAAAATAAATAGGGAAATAAATAGTGAAATAAATAGGGAAATAAATAGGGAAAACAATAGGGAAAACAATAGGAAAAACAATAGGGAAATAAATAGGGAAATAAATAGGGAAAACAATAGGGAAAACAATAGGGAAATAAATAGGGAAAAAAATAGGGAAATAAATAGGGAAATAAATAGGGAAATACATAGGGAAATAAATAGGGAAATAAATAGGGAAATAAATAGGGAAATACATAGGGAAATAAATAGGGAAATAAATAGGGAAATAAATAGGGAAATAAATAGGGAAATAAATAAGGAAAAAAATAGGGAAAAAAATAGGGAAATAAATAGGGAAATAAATAGGGAAATACATAGGGAAAAAAATAAGGAAATAAATAGGGAAATAAATAGGGAAATAAATAGGGAAATAAATAGGGAAAAACAATAGGGAAATAAATAGGGAAATAAATAGGGAAATAAATAGGGAAATAAATAGGGAAATAAATAGGGAAATAAATAGGGAAATAAATAGGGAAATATATAGGGAAATAAATAGGGAAATAAATAGGGAAATAAATAGGGAAATAAATAGGGAAATAAATAGGGAAATAAATAGGGAAATAAATAGGGACATAAATAGGGACATAAATAGGGACATAAATAGGGAAATAAATAGGGAAATAAATAGGGAAATAAATAGGGAAATAAATAGGGAAATAAATAGGGAAATAAATAGGGACATAAAAAGGGAAATAAATAGGGAAATAAATAGGGAAATAAATAGGGAAATAAATAGGGAAATAAATAGGGAAATAAATAGGGAAATAAATAGGGAAATAATAGGGAAATAAATAGGGAAATAAATAGGGAAATAAATAGGGAAATAATAGGGAAATAAATAGGGAAATAAATAGGGAAATAAATAGGGAAATAAATAGGGAAATAAATAGGGAAATAAATAGGGAAATAAATAGGGAAATAAATAGGGAAATAAATAGTGAAATAAATAGGGAAATAAATAGGGAAATAAATAGGGAAATAAATAGGGAAATAAATAGGGAAATAAATAGGGAAATAAATATAGGGAAATAAATAGGGAAATAAATAGGGAAATAAATAGGGAAATAAATAGGGAAATAAATAGGGAAATAAATAGGGAAATAAATAGGGAAATAAATAGGGAAATAAATAGGGAAATAAATAGGGAAATAAATAGGTGAATAAATACGGAAATAAATAGGGGAATAAATAGGGAAATAAATAGGGAAATAAATAGGGAAATAAATAGAGAAATTAATAGGGAAATAAATAGGGAAATAAATAGGGAAATAAATAGGTAAATAAATAGGTAAATAAATAGGGAAATAAATAGGGAAATAAATAGGGAAATAAATAGGGAAATAAATAGGGAAATAAATATGTAAATAAATAGGTAAATAAATAGGGAAATAAATAGGGAAATAAATAGGGAAATACATAGGGAAATACATAGGGAAATAAATAGGTGAATAAATAGGTGAATAAATAGGGAAATAAATAGGATAATAAATAGGGAAATAAATAGGGAAATAAATAGGGAAATAAATAGGAAAAATAAATAGGGAAATAAATAGGGAAATAAATAGGGAAGTAAATAGGGAAATAAATAGGGAAATAAATAGGGAAATAAATAGGGAAATAAATAGGGAAATAAAAAGGAAAATGAATAGGGAAATAAATAGGGAAATAAATAGGGAAATAAATAGGGAAATAAATAGGAAATAAATAGAGAAATAAATAGGGAAATAAATAGGGAAATAAATAGGGAAATAAATAGGGAAATAAATAGGGAAATAAATAGGTGAATAAATAGGGAAATAAATAGGGGAATAAATAGGGAAAATAATAGGGAAATTAATAGGGAAATAAATAGGGAAATAAATAGGGGAATAAATAGGGAAATAAATAGGGAATAAATAGGTAAATAAATAAGGAAATAAATAGGGAAATAAATAGGGAAATAAATAGGGAAATAAATAGGTAAATAAATAGGGAAATAAATAGGGAAATAAATAGGGAATAAATAGGAAAATAAATAGGGAAATAAATATGGAAATAAACAGGTGAATAAATAGGGAAATAAATAGGGGAATACATAGGGGAATAAATAGGGAAATAAATAGGGAAATAAATAGGGAACTAAATAGGGAAATAAATAGGGAAATAAATAGGGAAGTAAATAGGGAAATAAATAGGGAAATAAATAGGAAATAAATATGGAAATAAATAGGGAAATAAATAGGGAAATAAATAAGGAAATAAATAGGTAAATAAATAAGGAAATAAATAGGTAAATAAAAGGGAAATAAATAGGGAAATAAATAGGGAATAAATAGGTAAATAAATAGGGAAATAAATAAGGAAATAAATAGGGAAATAAATAGGGAAATAAATAGGGAAATAAATAGGGGAATAAATAGGGAAATAAATAGGGAAATAAATAGGGAAATAAATAGGGGAATAAATAGGGTATAAATAGGGAAATAGGGAAATAAATAGGGAAATAAATAGGGAAATAAATAGGGAAATAAATAGGGAAATAAATAGGGAAATAAATAGGGAAATACATAGGTGAATAACTACGGAAATAAATAGGGGAATAAATAGGGAAAATAATAGGGAAATAAATAGGGAAATAAATAGGGAAATAAATAGGGAAATAAATAGGGAAATAAATAGGTGAATAAATAGGGAAATAAATAGGGGAATAAATAGGGAAAATAATAGGGAAATAAATAGGGAAATAAATAGGTGAATAAATAGGGAAATAAATAGGGGAATAAATAGGGAAATAAATAGGGAAATAAATAGGGAAATAAATAGGGAAATAAATCGGGAATAAATAGGTAAATAAATAGGGAAATAAATAAGGAAATAAATAGGGAAATAAACAGGTGAATAAATAGGGAAATAAATAGGGGAATAAATAGGGAAATAAATAGGGAAATAAATAGGGAAATAAATAGGGAAATAAATAGGTAAATAAATAGGGAAATAAATAGGGAAATAAATAGGGAATAAATAGGAAAATAAATAGGGAAATAAAGAGGGAAATAAATAGGGAAATAAATAGGTGAATAAATAGGGAAATAAATAGGGGAATACATAGGGGAATAAATAGGGAAATAAATAGGGAAATAAATAGGGAAATAAATAGGGTATAAATAGGGAAATAGGGAAATAAATAGGGAAATAAATAGGTAAATAAATAGGGAAATAAATAGGGAAATAAACAGGTGAATAAATAGGGAAATAAATAGGGAAATAAAGAGGGAAATAAATAGGGAAATAAATAGGGAAATAAATAGGGAAATAAATAGGGAAATAAATAGGGAAATAAATAGGGAAATAAATAGGGAAATAAATAGGGAAATAAATAGGGAAATAAATAGGGAAATAAATAGGGAAATAAATAGGGTAAATAAATAGGGAAATAAATAGGGAAATAAATAGGGAAATAAATAGGGAAATAAATAGGGGAATAAATAGGGAAATAAATAGGGAAATAAATAGGGAATAAATAGGGAAATAAATGGGGAAATAAATAGGGAAATAAATAGGGAAATAAATAGGGAAATAAATAGGGGAATAAATAGGGAAATAAATAGGGAAATAAATAGGGAAATAAATAGGGAAATAAATAGGGAAATAAATAGCGAAATAAATAGGGATATAAATAGGTAAATAAATAGGGAAATAAATAAAATAAATAGGGAAATAAATACGGAAATAAATACGGGAAATAAATAGGGAAATAAATAGGGAAATAAATAGGGAAATAAATACGGAAATAAATACGGGAATAAATAAATAGGGAAATAAAAGAAATAGGGAAATAAATAGTGAAATAAATAGGGAAATAAATAGGAAAATAAATAGGGAAATAAATAGGGAAATAAATAGGGAAATAAATAGGGAATAAATAGGGGAATAAATAGGGAAATAAATAGGGAAATAAATAGGGAAATAAATAGGGAAATAAATAGGGAAATAAATAGGGAAATAAATAAAGAAATAAACAGGGAAATAAATAGGGAAATAAATAGGGAAATAAATAGGGAAATAAATAGGGAAATAAATAGGGAAATAAATAGGGAAATAAATAGGGAAATAAATAGGGAAATAAATAGGGGAATAAATAGGGAATAAATAGGGAAATAAATAGGGAAATAAATAGGGAAATAAATAGGTAAATAAATAGGGAAATAAATAGGGAAATAAATAGGGAATAAATAGGAAAATAAATAGGGAAATAAAGAGGGAAATAAATACGGAAATAAACAGGTGAATAAATAGGGAAATAAATAGGGGAATACATAGGGGAATAAATAGGGAAATAAATAGGGAAATAAATAGGGAAATAAATAGGGAAATAAATAGGGAAATAAATAGGGAAATAAAAAGGGAAATAAATAGGGAAATAAATAGGGAAATAAATAGGGAAATAAATAGGGAAATAAATAGGGAAATAAATAGGGAAATAAATAGGGAAATAAATAGGAAATAAATAGGGAAATAAATAGGGAAATAAATAGGGAAATAAATAGGAAAATAAATAAGGAAATAAATAGGGAAATAAATAGGGAAATAAATAGGTGAATAAATACGGAAATAAATAGGGGAATAAAGAGGGAAATAAATGGGGAAATAAATAGGGAAATAAATAGGGAAATAAATAGGGGAATAAATAGGGGAATAAATAGGGAAATAAATAGGGGAATAAATACGGAAATAAATAGGGAAATAAATAGGTGAATAAATAGGGAAATAAATAGGTGAATAAATAGGGAAATAAATAGGGAAATAAATAGGGAAATAAATAGGGAAAGAAATATGGAAATTAATAGGGAAATAAATAGGGGAATAAATAGGGAAATAAATAGGGAAATAAATAGGTGAATAAATAGGGAAATAAATAGGGAAATAAATAGGGAAAGAAATAGGGAAATTAATAGGGAAATAAATAGTGAAATAAATAGGGAAATAAATAGGGAAATAAATAGGGAAATAAATAGGAAAGTGAAGCCATGGATATACGTATCCACGGGAGATTAGAACGCTACATATTCGGTTCGCAATGTCTGTGCACGGTCCAGCCAGCAGGGATGTGACTGGGTGCTTGGGCAAGAATGTCGTGAGTCATGAGATTTTGACCAGCTGAGCCTTTTCATTGAGCACACCTTTTGTCTTCTGTAAAAGCCTTAGCTAGTGGCAAAGAATAACAAACAGCTGTGTGGACATGCCCAAAAAAATACGGTGCCAGAATCATGTGGTGGCTTTTTTGAACCTAGAACCAGGCCACCATCTAGGTACACAAAGCCAGACCATGCTAGACCTGTGAAAGGCTTGGCAGTTTGGCTGTTTCAGTCCTCTATTCCCAACTAGCAGCTGTGTCTTGTTGGCGCTGCCACCCCCTTTTGCAATGTAGAGCACGTCGTATGTGTTGCCATGCCTTAGTGTGGTCATGTGTCGTCATAGTGACTGCAAGTCATCGAGGTCATCTGAGGCGCTGGACTGACTGAGCATGTCGATTTGTGCAGGAAGATTTGTCTTCGTGTTGGCCTCCTCGAACATACTCAGTGGTGCGACCTGGCGGTTACCCTGAAAACGCAGATCGAAGTGGGCAACTCGCAAGCTTGTGGGGCTATTTCTCATATCTGTACCATTCTGCAAGCTAGTGCTCCATGGTTTAGTGAACCCAAATCCTTGCTGGTGCTCCATATGCCACTTTGCATAACCTGATAATCGCCATTATATAATGGCCATCGGCATCGGTTTTTCCTCCTGATAGTTTTAGGAGAAAGCGTAGAAAAGACCATGTTATAACGACAGAACCGTGCGTGTGCGCATGAGAACATGCATCTGTTCCAAGCTTTCTTAACAAGAATCCTAGGAGTGTCGGGCCTGGGAGTATCTCAAGTAGCCCTCTGAATAGGCTTTGTAGACTCCGCGCGAAATGAACTCCTTGAAATATCTTGAAATAACTTGCTCAACAAGCTTGCTCAGAGAGTACTCACAACGCAGAAAAGTCGTCCATTGCAAGGTCTCTCACGGTCTCACATGGTCTCACAAATCTGAGGTCTCAAAGCAATTCAATAGACACTTCCTCATCTCGTCCATCTGTGAGGACGTGAGTTCCACGCTTGACCATGGCCTCACCAAAGGAGACTTCAGTTCTTACATTGCACGAATTCGCGTGACATGTTCAAACACAAGGCTCTGCTTTGCTCAATCCAATCAAGACCTATTGAGACAACCAAGTCCCGCACTATAGCTGTGCCAGTGTCCTGACAAGAGGGCATCACCTGACACCAAAGACCATCTCCAAGACAGAGATAGCAGCGGGTACATTCTTACAATACCTTAGAACCATGAAAAGCCTTCACCAAAATGCACCAAATGTCACAGCAGAAGTGGTCAAGGATCTTGCTCAGTTTCTCTAGCAACTGGAAATTCTCGTATCTTTGTTTTGCAAATGGATCTCGGCAAAGTGCGCCTTGCCCGCCGAAACCTGAGATTACTGAGATTGCATGAGCATGAATTTCAAGATGCTTACAACATCATTCAAAAAAAGACAGCCTGGTTTGAAATGTTCCAAATATTTCCAAGCGCAGCTTTTCACAAGTTGGTCATTCGGCCAGGCGTTTGTCAAAGTTTGTCAGCCCATAAAGGCCCCTGCAGGGCCCTGCTGAACTTCACTGGACTTGTTCCGAAACACGCACTCCACCAGCTGAGCATGGCTTGGGTGCATGCACTATACAGGCTTGGTGGCTGGCGTGAAAATCTCAAGTCTTTCGGATGAACGTTATCACAGTTATCACACCCGGGCTCTTCAGGACTCAATTTTGAGACCTGAAGCCCTGGAACCAGGTGGTGCTTCGGATGAGGAATGGAATCAAAGCTGTGGAATCTTGTGAACCTAGTATGAAAACATATGAAAAGATATAAAAACTATGAGCATCACTGACTCAGCTTCTGGGAAGTTCTAAAGTCACATGAAAATTCATACGCTACCAGAAAGGGAAAGCCAGGATATCAAATGGATATCAAATGGCATCAGCATCTCCTGGACGGGTGAAAGCCCTAGAATCAGAAGAGTCCTCTTTGAGAGTGACCATGAAATCACCTCAACCTTAGCTCCGAGAAATCGTCACAGGCCAGTGACGACCAGTGGACACAAGATCTGTCTGGCTGGCCTTAATGAGCGCCTTTTCAGTTCGGAGGGCGGAGGGAAGACTTGTGCGCCTCCTACAAGTTTGACTAGACCATACGCTTTAAGATGGACTTTCAAACTACAGATACCTGGCCTGTTTAAAAGAATGAAACACTAGACTTGAAAATCTGTGCATGATCTACCCTGAGAATTCTTGAGATAGACACAGAGAGGGACAGATAGTCCTTCTCCGAAAAGCTTGGCTTCAACAAGGTTGGTTTGTCATCCTGAGTGCCGACTTCAAGAAAAGTTGCAGCTCTGAAGGAGTTCCACTCTTCGCAGCTTGTCAAGAAATGTCAAGAACTCTTTATATAACACACAAAAACTCCAAGTACACGGAACGTCGTGTCTTCTATTTTACCAACCCCGCACACACACCCACAAGAAAAAAATACCAAAGCTCTTAAATCTTAAACTCTTAAACACTGCCAAGCTTCAGGAAGTGAACGCTGCGAACCTCAATCTCTGCTTCTCAACATGTTCACATCAGGTCTGGATAACCGGTAAAAGCAAGATAGACAGACTGGTCCAAAGACTGGAATGTGCCCAGCCTGACTTTGCTCCTGGATCAAGCAGTCTCTCCTCATTTCACCAGAAGCAAGACAGGAATGACATTGAAACACTGCTTGCAGCTACAGACTGAATGACTGAATGCTACCAAAGTAAAACCAATTCAGCTTCGTTTCAATTCGCCGAAGATGCCGACCAAGCTCCTGAATCACGTTTTCTCATAGCATTCCAATCCGTTTCTAGTCAGCTCTTCACAATCCCTTTGGCAGCAAACTGTGTTCAGCAGTCTCCTTGACGGCTTTGGCCTTCGCAGCTCCCCAAATGCAAAAAGGGATTAATAACTAAAATCAATCAAACATGATCAAAATTGATTAAAATTGATTAAACTGTTGCATCTCAATACCGTCACCTCACAGTTGACAGCCTTTGATTCAAGATGATTCAAGGAAGGAAGTACATTCAGCCAGCCACCTGCTTGGACAAAGTTATCTTGGTCTCAAAGCTCAACGTCTGGAGGTCAATCGCAGTCGCAAAGCCTCTGGACACTGCACTTCAAGGCCCAGATAGGCCCAGCCGGTATGTGTGAAGTGTATTGGTGCGTGAATTGGAAGGCCAGGCCTTTCATGCGAACTAGTGCATTGGCAAGTACCTTCAGCAGCTTCAGCATCATGATTCAACTGATTCAACATGATAGAAGATGTGTAGGACCCGTCTCGGCGCCTTCAGCTCGACTTCCGAGTTGCCGCTAGCGGTCGCCAGCATGCGAAAGAAGACCTGCAACAATACAAAGTCTTCTCATATCAAAAGTATTACGGTATGCTATGGTACGCCGTTGCAGGTGATGTCAAGTGGGTTGCTAAATGTGCTTTGACTTGTTCAAATGTATTGCTCAGAGGCTGTCTCTAGCCTCAACGTTCTTGATGTCGATGCCACGTGCCTCAAAATCGTCAAATTCTCTGAGTTTTAAGCGCATGAAATTTGCTTTACAGGTCAAATGAGAATTCAACGATAAGACCACTAAATGATTCGGCAAAGGTGCTGAAAGGTATGTTCTGAAATTGTGCTGTTCGGTCAGAAGCTTGAACTGCGCATAGCAAATGCTTGACCTTCAGTTTCAAAATCAGGTCATAAACACGGGTGAGAGTGGGCCTGCAGAATTGGCCAGGACAATTTACAGTACAAGTTTGAATTGGAAATGCAAGTACTCTCTGTCTATCATAGATCATCATAGATCTAGAATATGGTGAATAAGAGTGACTACATTGCAAGCTTTCAAATAATGTTGAACCATCTCAACATATTTGTTTCCTTCACGGGTCTGAAGCTGCGGCGAGTCAGAACAGCCAAGTCGACCTCGGACTTGTCAATTCCAAATACTCCAAAGGAGATGGCAAAAAAATCATCTGCGATATTCAATGAATTTCCATGACTTTCTATGTATTTCCATGATAGACACATGTACGAAAACTTATACAAATGTTTAAAACATGTTGGAATCCTTGGACTCCTACTGCAAAAGAGCTCCAGAAGTGCTTGTGCGTCTTGAACGTCCTGGCCGGGCAAAAGTTGGTGCTTCTCAACGGTTTTCTGCCAGTCTTGCTGCACCGGCAAAGCTCCCATCAATGCAGTCCTTGAGATGATGTTCCATTACCAAAGACTCCAAATCTGGCTGCGCTATCTTTAGTGCCTTCAGTTTGACGAGCAAAGAATGCCATGACGCCAAGAAACACAAAGGACACCACGGACGGAATGTACGCCAGCAGCGGACTGGAAATTAAAAACATCGCACACCCGCTTTAGAGGAAGCTGCCTTCACCTGTAGTAATTTCGCAAGACGATGCAATACGTGTAATGCATGTGCTGCTTGTGGTTCAAAATAGTTTGTTTGAATGGAAAGGTGGTATCTGAATGTTGCCTGTTCCAACCAGCGGCACTGGCAACAACTTTGGACTTTCACATGTTCATTGGACTCGAATTGCATGTTGTTTGCTCCCAACCATTGATCCTATCCACAATGCGAAAGGGCAGGAGAAGGAAGAAGAACAGGACTGACTTTGCAATCATGCAAGAGTGTGGACAACCAAGTCCAGCAACAGCACCAGTATAGTGATAGCATTTCTGAAATTATTTGTCTCGAGGCATTGTCTCTTCTAATTTCATAACATGTACAGTATTGTCACCATGTTGTTACAAAGACAAGTCAAACTGTCTGAAGCACAGTAACGTACAAATGAGCTAACCCTTGAACAGCCCCAATTAGACGATCCAAAGAAAACAAATGGCACATGACATATGACCAACCATAAACACTGACTACAACACTCTCAAGAGAGAAAAACCTTACTGTACTTTGCATCCGGTGTGCAGCCACTGGATTCACTGGATCCAAATACACCAAAAGCACGGCAAAAAGACACAGCTCCACGGGTGCCTTCTCAACGAACGTACTCGTTACAATGTTCCAGACCTGAGCAGTCGGGCTTTGGAAGGCTCTAAGTGCATGTCTGAGTCTGAAACATGAAACTTGGGCAGCGGCCGATATTGTAAAAAGACTGACAAAGAGCAAGAACACAGCAGAGAGCATGCCAGAACCTGAGGAATTTGAAGGCGTTCAATTGCAGTAGGTCCAAGGAGTAGTCTGAAGATCATTACTGGTATAATTACGTATAGTACTTAGGCCTTAGGGCAGAATGTTGGGATCTGTTTAGGGGCCGTCCATAACCACGGCAAGAATAATCACGAACAACCGCTGCAGCTCCATCCTGGCTCTACAGAGAAGAAATACTGGGAAAAAATCAGCATGCTCTATATTCCAATGTGATTGCGGTCTGCCTGTTATCAAAGTTATTCCTTCCTTGTCGTGGTTAGCATCAACCCTAATCTTTTCTATGGCAAAAGAGTCCAATACCCGTCGAATACCAATCGTTTCAAGGCAAGCTGCTCTGCTCCAGTGGCAGATAGCAGTCCCGCCAGTCTATACCAGAGGTCGTGGATTGAAACAGGGTCAGCAGTGTTCCTTGGAACGCAAGCTGCTTGAAAAACTGTATCTTCTTAACAAGGCACTTCAATAAGTTCAATACAAACTTCCTTTGTAGCCATGGTCAGTATGACCATCAGGTCTTCCACCATCACCAAGTCTCTACCCACTTAGCCATACCACAGCATGATATCACCTGCCAGGTTAGTGCCACGGAATTTCACACCAAAAAGATTCGAAAAGATACCGCCAAACGCATCCCTGAAATCCCCACAGCCATCCACAGCCATCCACAGCCATCCACAGCCATCCACAGCCATCCACAGCCACCTACATGCGGATCCTCCAGGCTTTGCAGTCCGTTTTCTCTGGAATATTCTCCCAAGTAGTCGGCCAATCCCTGCACCTTGGCCAACTTGGCACAATCCTGGACCCAACCCAAGAGCAACGCCGACGGTGACATCTGGGTGCAAACAGGCCGCCAAGAGCAACGAGAATATAAACATGACCTCAGCAGATGTCAGGAAAAAGATCATTCTAAGTGGTACATCATGATCATCATGGTCCATCCAGGACTCAAATTTGAGTCTGCAGCGAAGAATAGCATGGCTATGCACCTCAAAATCAAGTCAGTTCCCAAAACTGCTGTCATTGCGTGGCTCGTAGCCTGCCTTTCTAGCAAAATGCAAGATTGTCTTAAAAGAAAACTAGAAGAGAACACAACACATCATATCTTTTAGAATTGTACACAAGAGACTGCAAGATAGTACTGATAATACCTCCATATACCTCATCCATAGATCCATAAACCTCGGAATTGAGATGTGTCGAACTGGATTCAGATGGCATCACTGAGGCGGGCGCCAAATGGCATTTAAAACGGATCCCAGGACGCAGTCCAACATCAGCCGCAGCTCTCGGAAGAATCGCAGAGTTCGCAACACACGAAGCACCTGATGACGCGGAAAGGATCGAAAAGATTCAAAAAAAAAGTTTGTTGTGGCGTCAGTTTTCAGCTGATGATTGCTGATGGTCTGATGATGGTTCATAAATGTTCAATGTTCATCATCCTTTCTGATAATCCATGAATCTTCAAAGAAAGCCTCGAATGGACTCAGTGCAATCTCAAGGTCGGCCAAGATCAATGTTTTATGTTGTTACCAGCAAGACTGATGCCCACAGGCCACGTGATCAATACTACGAGAACTGCAACAGTCAAATCTCCTAGGTTCATCATAATGTCCCTCAAAAAGTCTTCAAATTCTTCAAAGTTTATTGAAGCCGGAATAGATCCCACTTCAACTTCTCCAGCCTTTGCTATCTTGCACAAGCGCAGCAGGCGAAGGAAGGTCAGGTTCATACCCTGAAGGCCGAATCTATCAGCAGATTATGACAACAAGTCTGAAAGCGACATTGCATGACATTGCTGTAATAGTGCTGTTACATCGTGAGGCATGGCTGCTTTGATCTGCTCAAATAAACCTCAATACTTAGGGAATCTTGGTGAGTAATGTGAGTACCTCGGTCAAGGAATCTTCCCACACAGTACTGAAAAGTGCCTCCCTCGCAACTCCCTCGGAGAACATGACGAAGGAGGATGTGATCTCAACCCCTGAGAAAATAACCTGACAACAGGCTGCAAACGGGTCAAGACTGGGATTTGGCGCCTCTTCCCTGTTCAATTTGCTTGTTCTGTGTGTTTCATTCTTCAATGAACTTCAATGCGTTAAAGCAAGCGACCAACGAGATGTCGAATATGTTCCATCGCATGTCGTCGTTGATGAAGAAATAAAGACCTAGGCCATCAAACCAGGGCAAGCTTTGAGCAACTCTTCGATTGAGCGATCTCGCATGATCTCGAATTGATGACAGTGCAGCCAAATTGCGATGCACTGCCTCAGAGTCAGCAGCAAAAGTCTTTGATTGAACCATGTGGCTTTATGTGGCTTCAAAGGCCAAGCTCCACACCAGTTTCAGCAGAAGCTCCACTGCGTAGAAACAGGCGAAGCCCAGTTCGATCCTTGGATGGCGAATTTACCGTCAAGTTTTTGCGAATTGCAGGTGCAACATCTGTTTAAGTTTAAACCTTATGTCTCCCACACAAGGTCTTGATACCTTTCTCACCTCCACCAGTTTCAACACCCAGTTTAAGATCGTTTGTCCTTTCTTGTTAAACTACCACACTACTCTAGCTGACTCTAGCATCTCTAGCTGCATCTACCTGCAGAGTGACACATTGCCAAGTTACATCATCAAAGCGTAGGGAGTGGGTGCACCTGCAAGAACCAGTTGGCGGCACGGCCCGGCAGGACAGTTTCAGCATCAAATGGCCTGGATGCTTCATCTCCTGGTCTGACCTTGGGACACTGGAAAGCCGCACCAGGCGACGATCAATATGTCAATATGGCAATATGGATCACATCAGGACTCGAGTCACACATCAACGGAATTAAACGAACATAAACAAACGATAATAAACCTAACTAATTCACGTAACTAATTCACGGCCAACGGTAAGTCCGACAGTCCGAGTGGCATAAAGGAGATGAGAATAGCATTCAGAAGGATCACCTCGGGATCAGGTGCAGGTCCTGCAGAAGTCACCAGAAGTCACCAGAAGTCACCAGAAGTCACCAGAAGTCACCAGAAGTCACCAGAAGTCACTGTCATGCTCAAGGGGATCAAGACGCTCAAGACGCTCAAGGCACTTCGAGGCACTGGCCATCATGCAAAGGCTGCCGAATCGATTGCTGTTCACCACTCGTGCCAAGATGCCAGTTCGTTCAGGTTCCCTTGGCAGTGCAGTTTGCAGCAGTGTATTTGAATAGTACAAGGCCTGCACTTGGTAGAGGAAAGCGTTCACATAGATAGACATTCAAACATTCAGTGATTTGAATGATTCCGGTGTCAACGCAATCGCACAGCAGCAAACGCAGTCGCTTAAAGTCGACGAGCTCTATCGCACTGAAAAAACGGTCGAAGAAGTAGCGACCCAAAGCAGTGTTGCTCGCCATTTGCCTTGCAAGAAAGAATGAGAAAGCTATGTTACAATATGTAACAATGTAAGCTATGCTATCTTAGCCGTGCCTTTAGGATTCTGTGTTTTTGTGCGTGGTTTATCTTTGACATGCGCCTGGCCGAGCGTACGATTGTTCTTCTGGGTGAGGCTGTGGAGGCCAGTCCTGCTACATCTTTTCTTGTCGCACTTCAACCGAGCCAACTGTTTCATTCACTTCGGATGATTTCAACGTCTTTCAACATGTTCAACTTGAGACATCTAAAGACTCCTGCAATTTCAAAGGTCACGGTATCCTGTGATGTCTCGTTGGTAACGAACCTTCAGCTGGAGAACGAGCATCAAATCTGTGTCTGTGAACTTGGACCATCGATGACCATCGGACCAGCCTTTGGCCGAATCTTGGAGAGCTTCGTGCTGTAATGGCCTTGCTGACCCGAGGGCCAACAGTCTCAGAACCTGGAAACATTGGAAACGCCCCAGGATTACAATGGATTACATGCCGTTACATGCCGTTACATGCCTCAGCTCATGTGGCTCGATCATGCTCAATCCCTGGCCTTTTTGTGACACCAGCTCTTCTTTGGGAATCTCTAAAGCCTCGTTGCATGGCTCACATCTCTGCAACTGCTTTTCATTGCTCACTATGGGCAGCAGCAACTGCAAAACTCTTTGGAGATGCTTGGAGGTTACATTGCCTGATTCTATAGGTATCTAATGGTATCTATAACGGTATCTACATATATCTACATGCTTTCAGTCTAGTGCAGTCTAGTGCAGTCTAGCGACTACTTGGGCAACTTGTGTGAGCTGCACCCTGCGACATTCCGGCGCAGTGCATCCTCTTGGAACCTGCGAGCCGCTCCGAGCCGTGCAGGTCGGTGGAATTTCACTCTTTTTTTGTTTCATTGGAACAGGGTGGAACAGGAACAAATGGCTACTTTGGCACCAACAAATGGCAGCTTTATGCTCTCAACACTTTCTGGATTGGCACATCTTCCTTTCACAGGGTTAATGTCGAGCGTCGAAAACTCTGTTGGGACGCCTTCAAGTCGAAATCCCAAACCGCTTTTGGGTAGTGTTTTCGCGGTATGACCACACATTTGGCTTTCACTGACATTCACGGACCCTAAGCTCATGATGTTTGATTCACGCAGCTTTCGCGGACAAATGCTTGAAAAATATGATTAAACACAACATGTTCAATTTGTTTCTGACAATTGAAGTTCATCAAAAACTTTTGCATGCTGGCTTGTGTCTGCTCTTTCGCTGAGGCTTTCGGGCTTTCACGGATGGAGGCATTCTTTCGGGGAACTAAGTTAGTTTCAAGTATGGATAAATCGGATAAACTCTCCTGGAGGGTTTCAACGCTATGGCCTCGCATCTGGGACATGTGCTTGGTATGTCTTTGTCGTGCTCGATCTCATCGTCTTTTTCATGATCATGAAGGTCTTGGTCCTGTCATACCGTCGATTAGAGCATGTGGATACGGTATGATAGAGTACATGGATGTATATGGATGTATATGGCTCATATACAGTGGAGACATGCGGATGATTTTGGATGTGAAGCTGCAATGAGGTCCTCCACATCACTGGCAAAGGTGACCTCAGCCTTTCGCTTGTGGAGCCCTGGCCATAGCTCCTGTGGGCTCAGTCTCTTAGAGAGCATGACTGGTTTGAGGACCGAATTCAAAACGGTCCTCCCCCATCTCTTTCAATCGCCTCACAAGTGTTCTTTGAAAATGTCGGCTTCACAAAGTGCATACACCAAATGACAGTTTCAAGAACAAGAACTCCATCCAAGCCTCTCTTGCCGAAGCATCATGTCCCGATTCACAATTGCCAAGTTCTGGAACAGGGTAGATCAGCGTGCCATCAACATTTATACAATTTGTGCGTGTGTGCCAACATCATGGGGGCCAAGCGTCACACGGCCCACGCAACCCCACTGCTTTACTATCGTTCTATATCCTTCTCCATCGTCACGGTCTGACATCATCCAGCAGTTCGCTCCTTCAGCTGCTGCTGTTCCGAACAACTTTGCTGCAGGAGATGGAGCAAAGTGCCTCATTTCCATGACCCACCGGGTGCAAAACGAGACGAGTTGACGAGTTCAGATTTGAGTATCAGTACTTCAACACCAATCGCAGTTACAGTAATCGCAAACGGTGATAGCGTATCACGCCTAGACCATCATTGATTTGTTCCAGAGCACCTGCGCACAAATCTCCCTTGATCGCTCCATTGGAAAAGCGGGACAAAC